TAGAAATGCTTAACAAACAAGATACAAGTGGCTATAAATCAGCTTCCTAATATTTTCCTAGACCTTAAAGGTTTGACTTGAAAACCTCTTATCATGAACATGGGCAGGGAAAGCAAAAATTTATTCAGCAGTATACAAAACTTGCGATTTGTGCACTTTACAATATTCTTTTACTCTAGCAACAAAGCTTAAGAAAAAGAAAAACTAGAAATTTCCACAGCTGTAGACATCAGAGAAAAAGTCACACATTGAAGAAGAAGCATGGAACCAAAGCCATCTTCCCAACAGAAGGCCACATGCCAGAAGAAGGTTCCAGCCAGGAGCCCTGAAGAGAAGGCGGCAGCAGCAAAGGAAGGGCTGGACGCTGGGTCGTTCTTAGTGATGAGTCGTGGCTGGCTGGGGACAGTTAATGTGAGATTATTGCTGTGGCACATTTTGCTCCTCCCAGCCAGAGATGCGTGGCCTGCCTCCCCGGGGCCCCAGTCAAGTTTAGAGAGTTATGTGGCCAACAGGATGCAGAGAAAGTGGCATTCTGGAACTTCTGAAGCTGGATCATAAGAAAACCCAGGGTTCTGACTGGGCCTTTTGGAGAGCTGCTCTTGGAATGTTCCATCAGAATTCCGCTACCATGAAGGCAGACTGGTGCAACCACTGTGGAAATCAGTGTGGAGATTCCTCAGAAAATGAGGATTAGAGGTCCCATTCAACCCAGCTATTCCCTTTCTGGGTATCTTCCCAAATAATTAAAAACATCTTACCACAATGATATATGTGTACCCATATTTATAGCAGCACAGATTTTAATAGTCAGATCTTAGAACAACCTAAATGCCCACTGACCAAGGACTGTATAGAAAAGATGTGGTATTTTTATACAATGGAGTACCACTCAGCCCTACAGAAGGATAAACTAGAGACTTTTAATAGGTAAATGGATGCAACTTGAGAAAATACTAGTGAAATAAATAAGACACATGTAAACATCATACTGTTTCATGAGGAGCTGAAAGAAAAATACATGTATATGTATGTATATAAAAATTGGATAGTTATACTACTGAGTTCACTAAAGAGAAAGATTTGTGCTGGTATTATTTGGACAACTGAATGCAGATGTCTTGTGCTCCCGGTGGATAATTTGGGGATGACAGTACTCAAATGTATGTACCGTTGTTGCTCCGATTGACGTGTTTTGAAATTTTTTTCCTCCTTTTTTTATCTTGAAATAAAATGGATTTGGAAAAGAAGAAAGGAATTCTGCTACTATGCGATGAGAAACCCATGCCACGTGGGGAGGCTAAGGCCATGGGTGGCAGCAGGGGCTGGTCAGGTGAGTGAGCCACTCGGGGTTCAGCCCATAGGGCCTTTGGATGATCACAATCCTGATGGATGTCCAGCTTCAATGGCAACAGTGTCCCCTACGCCAGAACCACCTAGATGAGCCCAGTTATCCCACAGATCCATGAAAGATCACTATAATGTTTTAGGACACTATAATCTGGGGTGCTTTGTTATGCAGAAGCAAGAAACCATGGGCTGCCTCCAACGGCTCCTGTAGGGTGAGTAAAGAAAACTGTTCCACTCTTAAATCTGTGACTGCGGGCTAGGGATTTAGCTCAGCGGCATAAGCGCCTGCCTTGAAAAGCAGACAGTCATGAGTTCGACCAAAAAAAAAAAAAATCTGTGACTGCAATACAATGTCAGAATTCCCTAAAAGTGACAGATACACTGGGAAGGGTGGCTGAACCCAGGAGGGTTGGCAAAACCAAGCATGATAATCTGTGGTCTCTTTTAGGGCTTCTCAGTAAAATGAGGACCTGAAATCAACCTTTTTTTTTTTTTTTTTGTCTTTTTTTGAGACGGGGTCTCACTATGCAGTTCAGGCGGGCCTTGAGCTCACTCTGTAGCCCAGGCTGGTCTCGAACTCGCAACGATCCTTCCACTTCAGCCTCTTGAGTGCTGGGATTACAAGCGTGAGCCACCACGCCCGGCTGAAATCAACCTCATAAGGATTCAAAATCACAGGGTCTGACACATGTTAAGAGCTCCCAAAAATGTTAGTTGTAGCACACTTAGCATATGGGTCACCGCTTCAGATAAAAGGATTCAAACCTAAAGGGCTTGAATCAAAGTAAATTTGTTATTTTACACAGCAAGTGTCTCACACTTCCAGGCTTGTCGAACTCTTCAACTTACCTATTCAAATCCTTAAAAATTTTAAATTATACTTCCTGTGAAATTTTTATTTAAACATATCCGAGTATTGGATTTTCCCTCAGGGGTCAAACCCATGCCTAACATGTGCAAGGCCTGGGTTTGAGCACAAGCTCAATCAGTCAGTCATGCTGAGGATTTAGCTCAGCAGCATAAGTGTCTGCCTGGCACGCATGCAGTCATGAGTTCAAACCTGATACCACCAAAAAAAAAAAGTCAATCATATACAAGGAGGTATATTCTCTAGGTACTGTTCTAAGACCTGGAGATAGGGAAGAAAATAGGTGGCTCAGTGATATTACCAAAGACTAAAGTCCTTTACCTTTTCTTCCCTGCCATCCTCAGTCACATCACCAGATGGCAACCCCTGACCCGGGCCTCACCTACTTACATGGCATATCCAGGGTCAGCAGAGGGGATGTGTTCCATCGTCTTTTCCCGCTCAGCACTGGGCATTGAGCCCAGGGTCTTTGCACTGAATTTAATTCCCAGCCCTTTTTATTATTATCAGACAAGATCTCTATTTTTTTATTTTGAGACATAATCACTAAATCACTTTGGCTAGGCTTGAATTTGCAGTCCTCCTGCCTCAACTTCCCAGAGTTCTGGGATTACACATGTGCCACTCACCATGCCTGGCACCCAACCATCTTTTAAACTCAACTTTATTGAGGTATAATTTACATTCAATGAAATACATCCATTTTTAAGTCCAATACAGTAAGTCCCAAAACGTCCCTCATCCCTATTCCACTTTTTTTTGTATTGTATTAGTACATGATTGCAGTACGTTCATATTCCTTGCGGGAAATCGGTACATGTCCGTAATACCTCTTAATTGCTTTTATTTTCATCTCCTTTTCTTTCCCTCCCTCCATGCATCTCTAATCCCTTTTTTTCTCAGGAGGGGGTACATTCCTCATGTGGAGTGGCTTCATGTACATAACACATTTTAATTCCTTTTTTAAAAATCCTTTTTTCCTCTCCTCCCTCTCCCTTTCTCCACCTCTTGATCCCCTGCCCATTTGAGAAAGCTCTCCCTCCTTTCTATTCCTTATCTTTTATTTGCTCTTTGTTTACACTTTGGACTTCTCATATGGCAAAAACCACGTGATACTGAACCTTGTGTATCTGACTTATTTCAAGTTTCACCATTTATTTTTGTACACTAAACTATGTTTCCTCTTGCTTGATTATAAGCATTATTAGAATCATCCTATGCGGAACCTTCTACAGTTGCTTTGTTCACACTGTCAGCTTTATCTTTTCTTAAGCATCTATAGTTCCTTCATTTTCCCGGCACACAATGTGGATATTCCACAATTTGTTTAGTCCTTTCCCCTTTAATGGACTTCAGGTCTGTTCTGACTTTTTAAACCCGACAGTGCTATTACTATATGAACTCTGAACATCTCAACAGGTCAAGTGCTTCTTCTTGACTGAGAGACTGGGATACAGATGCTGGGTATAAACGATTCAAATCTTCACTTGGTTGAATTCTTTAAAAAATATCACTTTCTCAGAGGGTTGTACCAGTACACAGGTAGATGTCCCACTAATCACTGTCATTACCCACCTTAATTTAAGCCAATTTGACAGGGTAAAATAGAATCTCAGCAAGGCCTTCACTCCTTCAGACATTCGTTATTAGGGGCTGGTGTTTAGTCAGGTGGGTGGGAACAAAAAATAGAAGAATGCAGAGTGGGGGCACTGACTGTCACGGACAGGGGACAGCGTGCAGGGTGCAATGACAAGGACTCTCTTGCAAGGGAACAGGTGGGAACAGCCCTCGAAGGGGTGCTGAAGGCAGGAGAACACAGTGGGTCCTTGCACAAGCCAGCTGGAGAAGGGGGAAGCTAGATTCTATTTCCTCTCCTGAATTCATCTCTTATTACTAATTAGTTGCAGCATCTTTTTATATCAGACTAATTATAAAGCTACTGAAGTAACAGTAATTTCAAATGAAAAGGCCAACAAGCTAATTTTTAATGCCTGCTTATTTAAAGCAATGTTCCTATGCAATTTAAAAAAATATGGGAAAATTCTGACTGAGGAAAAAATAATTCCATCAAAATCTATGCTGAGGTCAGGGATTTAGCTCAGTGGCATAAGTGCCTGCAAAGTGAGTTTGATCCCCGGTACCAAAAAAAAATTACAACAAAATCTATGCTGTATTCAAAGTTGATATTAATGAACAGTGAAAAAAATCCTGTTCCTATTCAGGGCTGTGTCACAGAAGACAAATCCTGAGAGACGGCCACAGGGCAGCGCAGGACCAGATAACTGGAACAGTTCCACAAAGATGCAGATGTGCCCCATGGCGAGGCTGTGTGCTGGCAGCAGGCAGCATGTGTCAAAACAAGACCTCGGACGAGGCTTCGCAGGCTGCATCTTGTCGCTAATTCAGTTGACAGTTATTTACTGACTCTGTGCTGGATTCAGGAGATAACGTGATGACCAAGACAGTTTGGTCCCTGATCTCAGGGCTGCATCAGTCTAAAGCTAGAGACAGACACAAGGATGCTGACAAGGTCATGACTGCGACGGGGAAAGTGAGGAACTACAGACCCTGGATCAGGTGCCTGACCCACCCTGGGGGGCCCAAAATAACTGGAATTAGTTGTGGGAAGGAAGAGGAGACAAAGTGTGTGTGACACATGCTGCTGGTGACAGAGTCTGAAGTGTCCTGGACGATCAATAAAAGCACGGGGAGCCATAAATGTGAGCTGCAGGTTTAACTTTCAATTTTCCAGTAGCCATGTTTTTAAAAAAGGAAACAGTTGAAGTTAATTTCAATAATATATTTTATTTAATCCAAGGTATCCAAAAATATTACTGTATCAACATGTGACCAATATAAAAGTTTTTTGTACTGAGTCTTTCAGATCTGGTGGGCATTGTACATTTAAAATACATCTCAGTTCACACGAGCCGCATTTCAAATGCTCGACAACCACAGGTGGCTGTGGCTGCTGCACTGATCAGCAGAGAGACCCTCGCTACCCAACGCCCTGGTGGCGCCTGGGAGCTTGTTAGAAGTGCAGGCTCCCAGGCCCATGCCAGGCCTGGGCCGGCTGAAGCAGAGCTCGCATTTTAACAAGGCCCCAGGAGATTCAGATGCACATTAAAGACTGAAAAAAATGGGTCGTTTTGCTTAAAACACTTTCTATTGCTCTCATAGTAAACGCCCAGCTTTTGAGCTTTGTGTTGATTCATTCACACATGGTTTCCGAGCACCTACTCAGTGCCAGGTCCTGTGCCAGCTGATGCTGGGGACACAGCATGGGGAAGACAGACCTGCCTCATAAGGCTCCCAGCAGGCAATTGGTAAACAAGTTCCCAAGTTAGTGTTCTATTTTGACTGCAGCAGATGCCACACGCAAAACATGAAGTTGCAGTGTGCAAGGAGTATCGAGGGAGGCTTGACCTGGCTTGAGTGGACAGGGATCCAGAAAATAACCCAAAAAGGGAAGAGGCCACAACCATGGCAGAAAGCCACAAGCAGATTAAATGTCCTATGGCAGGGCAGTATTGCCAAGCAACCCCAGCCTGTCCATGGTCACTAAGAAGGATCAGATCGCTTTCAGCACCCACCCCCCCCCCAGCAGGAAAGCACCTGGAGTATAAGGTTACAGGAAATAAGCCAGAGACAGAGCTGCAGTGACAACTTCACACTACCCAGCCTCGCTGCATTTGGAAAACCAGGAGAAAGGGAACAAGAACCAGGAAGGTGGTCACTTGGCCCGGACGGGAAGGACAGGCCAAGGAATTGTGGGTTTTCTTCTAGAAACATCATTTTAAAAATCGGAATTTGCTTTAAGATAAAAAGCAGGGGAGAGAATGGACAGGATATGGAAAAAACAAGAATGGCCACATGCTGTTAATGGTTGTGGTGGGTGATGGGTACCTGGGAGCACATTAAGATTACTTATTTTGGGGGGCTGGGGATTTAGCTCAGCGGCACAAGTACCTGCCTTGCAAGCAGGCGGTTGTGAGTTCAATCCCCAGTACCGATAAAAAGGAAAAAGACAAAAAAAAAAAAAAAAAAAGATTATTTTTGTGTATGTTTGAAATTTTCTTAAAAACAAAGTTAAAAGTATTGTTCTTTACAAATAACTGGAGAAAGTGAAAAGGTTTTTAATTGTTGAAAAAATTTAAACCCTACCTAAAAGAATAAACCACAAGATCGGAAATAGAATTCTTCCTTTAAGAATGGAGTCCAGAGATGGGTGCGGTATGCATGCCTATAATCCCAGCATTTGGGAGGCTGAGGCAGAGGGATCACCATGAGTTTGAAGCCAGCCTGGACTACATAGCAAGACCCTGTCTCAAGAAACAAACGACAACCACAAAAATGACTAATTGCACTCATGATAGAACCAAGACTCCAGGATTTAAATCTTGCCATGACCACTTTCTAACTATGAACCTGAAGCCTCACTGGGAAACTGGGGAAATCACAGTAGCTCTCTCTTAAGGGCTGTATCAAGGCTGCAGAATTAGGGACAAGGTGTAGCTGTGTGGTGGTGTGTGCTGAGCATGTGCTCAAGGGCCTGGGCTCCACCCCCAGCACCAGTACCAACAAAGTAAGATTAGTGAATCAGTGCACGAAAGGACCTAGCACAGGGCCCAACACAAAGAGGCCTTTAGGTAAACGTCAGCAGTTACTCTTAAAACACGTGCTCACCAGATTTCAAACTGCAAGACGTCAAAAAGCAGGGACATTGATACTTCCTGGACCCTGAACTCACTCCAGAGTAAAGACAGCCACTCCCCTGATGCAACAGACTAACCACCTTCCTCTTACCACACTGAAGCCTTTCACACAACTCAGCTGTGCCAGATGCTTGTGAGAGGCATGGAGACTGTATACTTCATGTTTATGACAATAACTAAGGAAACTGCTAACAGCCGACTCCCTCAGTGGATGTGATTCAAAAGGACACTTACAAGTGCTCCCTGAAAGCTCATCCGGGCTTACGGTGCACAGAGAAATATGCTTCTGTTCTTTTCCTACCGCTGTGGGATTTTTACAGTAATAAAGCAGGTCCTGAACGTTTTTTCCTCTTAAAAACCACAGTGGAGCTTCTTATTTTTCTCCTACCAGGGGCTTACTTGGACTGTTAAGTGAGGGCTAGGAAGCCAGAGAGGAGACCAGGCTGAAACAAGGTCAAGCAATAGACAGAAGGAAGACAGCAGGGTCAAGAAATGTCCAGAGTCCTGGTGGATACACCATGAGGGTTAATGGGCTGCGCGGGGGCAGAAATGGGAAGGGGGACATCCAGGGTGCAGCCTAGAGTGTAGGGAGGCCCACCCAAGACAGGGGCTGAGAGGAGGAACGCACTGGATTCGGGTCACGGTGCATGTTAGGAGCCCAAGGACCACTGGAGTTGGGGATGGGTGTTCAACAGGCGTCAGGACCTCCCAGATCTGGGGCTCTGAGGACAGAGAGGGTGACAGCAGCACAGAGACAAGAAACACTCTACAGAAGAGAGCAAGATGGTAATGATAGTGGAGAAATAACAGAACTCCCATACATAAGAGATCAGTAAAAACACAGGAATTGCTATGCAAAGAAGCAAACCCCAAAAGTGCATGGGGACAGCAGTCACAGGTGTGTGAGTTCAGTGTGTTTTTTGGAGGCAGGGACCTCCAAGTCTCACCAAGATGACCAGTAAGATGACGAAATAGCACCCGCTATGCCAGGCCTCTCACAGTCAAAGAAAGATGTTATAGAGAGCAGGAGGAGAGGAGAAAGAGGCCTCCAGGGGTGGGCCAGAGTCTGATACCAGTATGAATCCATGCGCATTTTTTTTTTTTTTTGTACTGGAGATTGAACTCATGACCTCGCGCCTACACTACTGAGCCAAATCCCTGGCTATTTTCACTATTATTATTTTTTATGGCACTGGAGAGTGAACCTAGGGCCTCTAGGCAAGTGCTCTACCACTGAGTGCTTTTTATTCTGAAGCAGGGTCTTGCTACATTGCTCAGGGTAGCCTCAAATGTGCAGTCCTCCTGTGTCTACCTCCCAACAGCTGGGATTAAAGGCATGGGCCACCACACCTGGATCATGCTTATTTTACACACACACACACACACACACACACACACACACACACAGGGGCTTAGAGTCCCTAGCTCTGCCAGCTGAAGATAAGAAACAGTGACATTCCAGTAACAATGAGCACACCTGTGCCTAGATCGTTTTGGTTTTGGTTTTGGGTTTTTTGGTACCAGGGATTGAACTCACTACCTCCAAGTTGCCAGACAGGCACTTATGCTGCTGAGCTAAACTGCCGGCCCAAGACCTCAGTTTCCAATACCATTCCACTATAAATGAGCCAGTCCTCCCTGGAGAAACTGCCAATTACAGGCTCAGAACAGGGAAAATCCAACACGAGCCTGGGACATCTTGAAGTGATAGAATAAGGTGCGTAAGAAACAAAAGAACAACAACAAAAAAAAGAACACAGGAGCCAGGCATGGTGGTGCATGCCCATGATCCTCACTCTTGGGAGCCTGAGCCAGGAGGATTGTCATGAGTTTGAGGCCAGCCTGGGTTACACAGTGAGTTCAAAGCCAGTTTGAATTACAGAGCAAGACCCTATCTAAAAACAAACAAACAAACAAACAAAACCAGTGCCAGTCTGAAACAGCCCTAATAAAGCTAAAACAACCAGGGTGCTAGAGAGCAAGGGGCTTACCATAATATTGGCTTATCCTGGAAACACAGAATAAATATCCATGAGTCCATGCTAATATTAATGATCGTTTAAGTGAAACACACAGAAGATGAAAATATTCCATATAGAATTAAAAATAGCAAATGTTAAAGCAAGAGGGAAGTAGGAAGTTATCTTAGAATACTGGAGTAATAACTGCTATATGCAAGATCCACTGATGAATGCTAAAATTAGTGGGTGAGCCATTAAGGAGAAACAGGATATTTCCACAGACTCAAAGTGCTCCCCCCTTTTTATTCATCACTGTGTGTTATGGTTTGGGTAAAGTTAAATATGTCCCTCAAATGTGTGTGTTGAAGGCAATGTGAGAGGTGGTGGAACCTTTCAGGGAATACTTAGTGGTGGTCATTAGGTCACCAGGGCATCCCCTCAAGAGGCAAATAGTTCTCGTAGGAACCTCACTCATTTCCCTGTGAGTTTTTAAAAAGCAAGCCTGGCCCTGCCCACTCACCAGCTTCCTGCTCTCACACACTCATGCCATGATGCTGCTGCCCTGCCAAACAAATGGGGCCACCCAATCTTGGGCTCTCAGTCTCCAAAACTGTGAACTAAAACAGTAAGTGTCTTCTTTATACATTACCCATATCAGATATGATAGCAACAGCAGCAACAGAAAACACCGATACGTCATAGTAGTTTTAACAAACGGAGACAAGTTCTTTTGATATTTTTCTCTCCAGGAACTGGAACTTAGTATTCTTCCTTTTGAGTGTGGGCTGAATTTAGCAACTTGCCTCCAATGAATAGAGAAGGGAAAAGGAAAAATAACAGTATCACAGTTAAGAAGCCTACAGACCCCACATTAATGAGGGATCAAAATTAATATCATCTCAGTAAGCATTCTTCCCAAAGCCTTGAATCGCAATCTAACGAATTAAAAAAAAAAAAAAAAATCAGACAAACCCAGATAGGAGGAATGTCTGCAAAATACCTGACCAGCATTCCTTCAAACTGCAAGTAATGAAAAACAAGATAAGAGTGAGACACTGTCACAGATTGGAGGAGATCAAGGAGACATGGTGAATAAATGCAACATGGTATCCTGGTTTGGATCCTGGAACAGAAAGAGAACATTAGTGGAAAAACGAGAGAAATGTCAATTAAGTCTGGAGTTTAATAAAATACTAATCAGTGTTAATTTCTTGGCTTTGACAGATGTGTCATACCATAATTGTACGAGAGGCTAACATTATGGGAAGCGAGTGTTAGGTAGATGGGAAGCCTCTGCAGCTTTTCTGCAAATTTAAAATCACTAAGAACAAAAAAGGCTCGAAAACCATTTCTAGTCTCTACTCACTTGGCTACCAGCAGTCACCAGCAGGCTTCATAAAACGCCCTTTATTTGACTCCCGAGCACTCATCTCACATGTCCTCTCTTCCAGACAGGCTTTTCTGACACCTCAGGCTGGGGTGAGGTATCAGCTCTGGGTTCCACAGCACCTGGGGTGCCCTATCCTGTCCCAACCCCTTTGTCCAGGCCTCCCCATCCCTGTTGTGACTGCTGACCACTGCTGGAACACAGTGTCCCACTGTGCTGTGCACTTTGAGGGCAGTGGCTGGCTGCTCTGTGGCCAGTAACACGTCTCCATGACTGCACTGGGAACACCAACAGGCAGGTGGAAGCAGGCCAGGGATACTCTCAGCCTGACCTCTGACTCTTCTCAGAGCCTTCCTAGTGCCCTCTACAGCACGGATCAATCCAGACACACCTGAGGCAACACAGATGGCCCACTGCGCACACCCACCGCACATCCACGGAAAGAGGTCAGACCCCCGCACCGTACTACACACATCCACGTTCCCTCCCCTAGCACACCCACTCTCACAAACACATTGCAACTATAAATATTTGGGTGCCTGCCCAGGCTACAGCCCTTCACAGCATCCAGGTATCAGAGCAGGAAACCTCCAGCCATTCAGCTTCTGGAAATGGGGAGCAAAACTGGAAGGTCACACAGGGTCGGGGCGACAGTTCCCCCAGGGTCAGCAAAGCAAAGGGGAGGCCACAGAGCCCCAGGAACAGCCGAGAAAGCCAAGGATCCACAACCTATGTTCTGACTGTTACATTCTCATGAGGCTGTTTTGCATTTCCTCCTGTCACTACTCCCAGTCGACCCACTGTGGGTCCTGCATTCAGAATTTACCCAGGCTCCAACAGCTCCACACACTCCTGCCCAGCCTTCATCCACACACAGCCAGCTCTCATCAGGGACACAGCTCCCACCTCTTCCTGTGCCTTCCAGCTCTCATTCTCAAATCTCATTTCCATCTACACCTTCTCCCTTATGTGAGCTCAGCCTGGCCTTTCACAAATCTGCAAATCTAAGGCTCAAAGAAACATGCCACAAGCACGCCAGCTACCCCCAAGCTCAGACCCCACTTGCATGGTGAGTCCCTCCTGCATTACTCTTCTCCACACAGTTACCAGTTGCCCTGGACTCCTCTTTCCCATTCCACACCAACAGCCTAGGCCTGGGAATTCTCCCTCAAATTAGATCCAACATCTGACCACATCTTTTGCTACCACCTTGGCCAAGCCCGCAGCATCTCTCTCCATTGGAGTCCTACTGGCATGCACCTAGCAACCAGAGGGAGAACCTTAGATCACATCGCTTCAGCCAAAAAGCCCGACTGCTTCCCATGCCACTCAGCACCAATATCAAGTCCTTACCTGGCATATTAGGCACCATGTGACCCTGCCCTTTTCCCCTTCCCTTCCACGTTATTTATTCTGGTCTAATTCAGGCCTTTCTACTCCTCTAAAACACTCTATGTCCCAGAACCTTTGAACATGCTGGGATTCCCCACCCCCAGCCAACGTCTCGTCTCAAAAGATTTGTAGAACTGGCTTCTTATCTTTTGGTCAGGTCTTCTGCTAAGAGTTTCCTCAAACACATCTTTAACCCATCCCTTAAAATAGCCCTCTTATCCCTCTATCCTGCCAATCCTCAAATATCATAACTCTTTTCACTGATACTAAGCATCACCTTGCCCACTGAAAGTAGGCTTCATGAGTGTAGAGTTTTTGAAGGTCTTGCTTGCTGTTATAACACCAGTACCTTAAACAGTGTTTGGCACACAATAAGCACCCAATATCTAATGAATCAGAAAACAAGTGAATGAAGACCCAGGAGGGTTGGTGACAGAGCTCAGTGACACAGCACTTGCCCAGATGTGTAAGTTGTTTGGTTTTTCATCCCCAACACCACACAGACACACATGAACGCACAGACACGTTCAGGCACACAAAGACGAGCTGGGACCAGTTAAGATGTTTAGGGTTCCAAGTAATAGTGAGCTTATTCAATGTGACTTAAATGGCACAGATATAATGGGTCCCTCATGAGAAAGTCTAGGAGTAAGTCGCTCAAGCTCAGGCTTGGTCTGACACTCCATTAGTATCACAAGGCGCTGATGCCTTTCTGCCTCTACTAGTCCTTCCAAGAAAATGGCCTGTAGCCACACCATTCGCAGTGAGTTCAAAATGCTAGTATTCATCTGGCCACCACTTCTGTAACAATGATGAAAATTCCGATGCTGATAATAAATATTACATATTCAGGTGTAGCACGGGCCAGGTACCTTGCTAGTACTTTGTCAACTTTCTCTGTCTCTTCCCTTTCACTTTCCCATCTGTAGAATGGGAATAATAACAGTGCCACTTAGAGTGGCTTTGAGGATTCAATAAGCTAATATATAAAGTGGTAAGATCTGAAAAAATATTAACTTATTTTTATTAGCTACTGATGCTTAACAAATCATCCTAAAACACAGTCCTGTAGATAGCAGCTAAGTATTTGCTTATGATTCTGTAGTCCTGGCAAAATTCAGGAGGATGAGAGATGAGAGACCTTAGGATGGTTTGTCTCTACTCCAGAGAGTATAAGATGGCTGTTGGGTTAGGATACCCAAGATGGTATCACTCCCATGCCTGGCACACCAACTAAAATAGCACAACGTTCAGAGAAATCTTTTGAAATACTGAACTCACTGGGTTCTTTTTCAGTGCTATACTTTAAAAGTTACCCTACAACTTCCCACTACACAAGCAGCAAGAACTCACATTCCTCGTAGGATCAACATGGTCTGGCCTCTTGATTCACCTCAACTTCTGGGTTCTAAGTATCACACACTCTTTGATGGAGTTAATGTCAACTCCTTTTTGGCCTCAAACCTCTTCCTTGGATCCAGATTAGATTTCCTATCAATGCTTATATAGCACTCTCTGCCATTCTTTGTAATTCCACATTTGTGTAAATTATTTGACCTTCTGAACCCTCACTGCTGAGAATGAGTTCTTTGGATGGGAAAACTGTTGTGTTCTCAACACTGAGCATAAAGCAGAGGTAGGATGAAGTATCTGTTAATTGTCTTGAGCCCTCAGAACAGCTTAAGGTATACAGGCAGGGGATGTGCAGAGTCCTCAGGATGCTGGAATCCAATTCCATGCTCTGAAACTATTCATCTGATAAAGTTAATGTCCTACTGTGCCAAGCACTCCTAGGTGTTGCAGATAAAGCATGAAGTAGACAAAAGCTGACCTTGTGAAGCTGATACTCTCTAGGGTAGGGGGAAAATAAACGAGACAAACTGTATTAACAGTGATATGATTAACACAAAGAAAAAGTTCAAGAAGAAAAAGTAGATATGGATGGTAATGTTATAATTTTAGAAAGATGGTGAGGAAAAATTCCTATGAAAAAGTGATATCTGAGTAAAGACTTAAAACGGATGCAGGAATGAATCTGGCATTATCTGAGACATGAGTGTTCCAAGGAAAATGAAACAGCAAGTGCAAAGGCACCGAGGTCAGTGTGTCCGGAGCACAATGAACAAGGATAGTTGATGTCAGATCATGAGAAAGACAGACTGTGCAAAGCCTTGTAGGCCATGGATAAGATTCTGGCTTTTAACTTAAATGAGATGGAGCTATGGAAGGGTTCTAAGTATCGAAGGATAAGACCTGATGCAAACGTTTTTAGAGTCCCTCTAGCTGCATGTGAGGAACAGATTGTGGCAGGAAGGGTGAGAACAGAAGACCATTGCGGAGTCTGCCACTGTAGTTCAGTGTGATCCAGATTACTCTGGAGATAAACAAAGAGGTATTAATTAGGCAGTCAGTCAGGAACTCAGGGGAGAAGTCCTGGGCTGGAAACAGAAATGTGAGATCTACACTTCTGTGCCTACAGGATCTATATAATCTGGCCTCTGATGGTGCTTCTAGGCTATCTTGCACCCTGTAAAGTTCTCAAACACACACACACACACACACACACACACACACACACACCCTTGAGCCCATTTTCTACGGGTAACTGTATGATCTCTTGAGCAAGTTACTGAATCACTTCTGCCTTCAGGGTCCTCATCTACAAAAGAGAGATCATAATAGTACCTCTCTCCTAGTGCTATTCATCCAAAATATTTTTACTGAAGCAGATGGGGGTGTGACAGTGGTTGAGCGCTTACCCAGCATGCACAAAGGCTTGGGTTTAAGCCCTAGAGCCACAAAACAAAAAAAAATTTTACAGAGAATCTACGATGTTAGAAGGTGAATACTGTTCCATGCACAGGAATGGTTCCTTTCCCATCCTCTACCTTCCCCTCCACACACATCCTGTCAACCTACCCTCCCTCTCCTGCACTCCTTAGCATGGCCCAACCCTAATTTACCCGTGGTATCTCTTGGCTAGGAATATGCTACAGCCATCACACCCCAATTTCTTTACCCATTCTCACATTGCAGGAAACAGGGATATGTCCCTTACCTTCCTGAAATCCTCTTATGGCTCCTCATTGCTTTCAGGACAAAGTCCAGCAACCTAATTAACCAAGAAAATCTGCCACAATGGAATCTATTCAGAATTTTCAAAATTATCTCCAAGACCATACAGTCACCTGCAGCTCACAAAATACCGGCCTTTTTGCATGCTGTTTCTGCACATGCCATTCCACCATCATCCCCAGTATATCCTTTTCGCTTCCAGATCTCAGCTATGAGAGCACCTACCCTTTCAGGACGCTCTCCCTATCCGTTTTTCCCGCATTCCCACCATTCCCACCGCATCTCAAGCTGCCTCCCGTAAGTCAACAGGTACAGATCCGTCGCCTGGGTCCTAACCTGTATCCACTACTAAAACGAGCTTCTTAAAAGCCTGCACAGACATACCAAGCAGCCGTGTCGCGCACAACGCAGCCACATCAGTTCTCTGCGCCACCACCTTCTCTGGAATTGCACACTTCTAACTTGTGCGCTCTGTCCGCTTAGCCCAGAAGCCCACCTTTCGCACACCAGGCAAAACTAAGCAAGTGAGCAGTACACAGCCCAAACCATCCAATCATGGCCTTCTCTACCTCTACTGATCCGCCTGCGACGTCCGGCTTTCCCTTCCTTCGACTCCTGATTGGCTACCCGAAACCCCCCCCAAACGTATGAGCGAAAAGAATTCTGGTCTTTGTAGTTCACCATCAAAAGCGAGTAAAGAAATTGCCACGTAGAACTCCATTTCCCAGAAATCGCCGCGCCCCAATGGTGTGATAACCTACCCTTTGAACCAAGCGGTTCTTGATTGGCCGATTGGGAGATAGAAATTTCCAAACTGCCATGGAAGTAAGACCACTTACCTGGAACCCAGGGAGTATCTTTTTGCCTGAGACTCAAAACGCTTTGCTCCGCAATGATTCCAAAGGATGGAACCAAACGTGTGGATTAAGTCTACCCACTGCTTGCCTGTTTCCCTGATGGTACAAACAAGGCCTGCAGCGTGCACCCAGAACCCTGCCTGGCACAAGAAATTGCTCCTGTGCAGATTCTGGGAGCCCCGACTTACAAGGGCAGTACATGGTGCTTCCCAGAGACAGGCCAGAAGGGGGGCATTTACTCCTTTATAATCTGTTTACCCTGGAAAAGGCAAATACGGGCCAGGATTCTGTGCAGGATGCTTTAGCCCCAGAACTCCTGCAGGCCCATGCTCCATCAACAGCCATAACTTCTCCAGAAGGGATGTATCCACACCAGAGATCATCTGGCATCCCCTTCCCCAAACCCTTGCCCCACCATGCCTCTGAGGGTCGGGTGAGGGGACCAAGGCCCTGCAAACGCTCAGGCAGGCATGTGAGAAAGCTCTTTACTGGGGGGTACAGCGAGGAGGAGCAAGGCCATCTCCCCCACCTGCCCCCACCCCCTCCTAGGGCCCTAGGGTAAGGGGAGTCTCCCCTCCACCAGACCACCACTGTCTTTGGTACAATAAATAGAAAACAATGGGAGAGGGGGCCAAGGGTCCAGTCCTTAAGTGGGGAGTGTGGCCAAATCCCTCTCCTTGACCCCTTGCCCCGGGCCCAATCAGTGCAGGCCTCACCCACCCCAGCTGGGTAGCAGCAATTCCAGTCAAGGGGAAAGATGAGGATGGGAGCCCAGGGCCCCCAGATGGGGAGGGGGTATGGCTTCAGGAGGGGCCCTAGGGAGAGGGCAGGGTCATGAGCTGGCTGCTGTGCTCTGGGGTACACCACGGAGGCCCAAGCGAGGCCCCAGAGCGGTAGGGTCATCAGGGGGTGGGAGAGGTGGACGACCTCCTGTCATCCGAGTCCGGAGGGCTGATGCAGCCGGGTGCTGGGGGGCAGGCGCTGGGTGAGGTGGGGAGCAGTCCGGAGGGCCGCCCACCAGGCTCACATCCATCAGCTCCGGGGGTGGTGGTGAGGTTGGTGATGGGGGACGGCCAAGGCATCGGGGCTGGGGGGGTAACTGGGCCCCGGTCCCCGGCAGTGATGAGGCAGAGGTAGGGGCTTGATGTGTCTTGTGAGGCACATCACCCCCTGCCCAGGGGCGCAGCAGCTGGGAGGATGGGACCTAAAAAAAGCAAAGGTGCAATGGGTAAAGAAGACTCAGTCCTAAAACCCCAGGATCCCCACCACTTCTTCAAAGCCTTCAAAGCCCCAGTACCTGGGGGCTGTTCATCTCACAGTCAGTGATGGGGGGCCCAGGGCCCCCACAATATCGGTTGCTGTAGCGGTAGGTCTGGTTGTCACTGGAGGAGCCACTGGAGCCTCCTGAAGTGCCAGGGGAAAAAAAAGAGGCCACAAATAAGATGCAGTAGCTGGAATTTCAAGTAGGTAAGCCTGGTCCACAGTCTGTTCTCTGGAACCAAAGCACATCTAAAGAACCCAGCCCGGTTTTGAAATACAAGTTCAGAGTTCAGTTTTGGGTGTCAAAACAACTTGAGAGTCCAGTTTCAAGACATGGCATCAGGACCACAGGAGGCTCTCCTCCCACCTTATTCTGGAGTTCATAATTAGGCTGTTTCATATCTCCCATGAGACTCAAGGACAAGGTGCCCAGGCTGGGCCAAACAGAGCTGCCCCCACCCCACTGCACCCATCTAGGCACTGGGCACCCACCAGAACTGGAGATGGAGCTGGCGGTACTAGAGGAGGGGCAGGTGTCGAGGGGTGCGGGTGAGGTGGAGGCACTGCTGCCTGCCGGGCCTGTGTTGGTGGCCTCGTCCGCAGTGCGGCGGAAGAAGCCGTGCTGCAGAGCCCCCAAAGGGCTGATGCGGGCGGCGGGCTCATACTCCAGCATGCGCAGCACCAGGTCCTGGAAGCGGAGGTAGTCGGCGGGGCTGTGGCCCGGCTCCCCCGCCCGCCGGCCCCCGGGCCCGCCCGTCTGCACGCCCAGCACCTCCTGCAGCCGCCGTGTCCCAGGGCCCTGGTAATCCTGGCAGGGAGGGGGGGAGGGGGGGCAAGAGAGTGGCCGTCAGTGGGCAGGAGGGGCAGGGAGACACACAAGGGGAAACAGAGGCACAGCAGAGAAAGTAGAAAGAGAAGCCAAGAAGAGGCATAGGGTGGGAAGGACAACAGGGGGCAGGGGATGAAGGGACAGACGTGGGCAAGAGGAAGAAAGGGAAAGACACAGGGAGAGGAAGCAGGGAGCAAGGGAGCCCCAAGTGTGAAAGTGAGGGCCACCCAGGATGGGAGGAGTGGCATGGGACAGGGGCCGCACCTTCCTGAGTTCCTTTGTCCGTCGTAGGGTCCAGCCACCCCCAGGCAGCCGCTCAAAGTACTTTCGAGCCTTGGGTGCCTGCTCCAGCATGGGGGCTGGTGGGATGCCCAGCACCTCCACGATGCGGCTCATCTGGTCCACCTGCAGGCAGGTGGTGGTCAGGGGCACCGGCCAGCCAGGCTCCACCCCTCCACCTCCAGCACAGCCCTTCCTGGGGGCGCACCTCATTGGAGCCACTGAACAGGGGCTCTCCAGTGTGCATCTCCACCAGGATGCAGCCCAAGGACCACATGTCAATGGCCAGGTCATAGGGCGTACCCAGGAGCACCTCCGGCGAGCGGTAGAAGCGGCTCTGGATATACTGGTAGATCTGAAGAGAGGCCAATAGTCAGGGGCCCCAGCCTCTCTACTGGTCCCACTGTTACCCCAAAAGCTAAGAGGACCCTTTTTTCTAACTGGGGAAGAAAACTCCACATTCTGACATCCTTAGCACTAACCCTCCTAAAACTCCTGTACCATCTTATTAATCAGCCTCCACAGTCTTTGCTGGGCTGATCTAACCCTAACTCCGTTCTTAGCCCTGGCCCTCTGCCCACCACCAGTCACCGGGTAGCAGTTCCCAAAGCTCTAGTGTGTGTCACTTTAATGCCAACTCACATGAACCTGCAAAGCTGAAGGCTTCCCCACCTCCCACTTCAAGAGGACAGCAGAAACAACTTAGCAAAGAAGCACCCCAGGCTGGACCCACGCGACTTCAGCTGCCCACATCTGGAGCTTCAGAACCAGCCCTGCCCACTCAGGCTCACCTCTACCCTTCCCAATGGGCAGTTTACCTCTCAGCCCTTCTGCTACCTCCACCATCCACTGGCCTTACCCTCCCAGTCGTACCAGCAGCATCCATGTCAAGCGCTATCTCTCAGCCACCCATCCCAATGCCTGGACTCATTGTACCCTGACCTAGCCATACCCACACCGTGAGCTCTCCCCCCAGCCCCCAGTCTGAGCCGCACCCTCTGGCCAAGCTGGCAGGAGCTGCCAAAGTCCACAATCTTGATGGCACTGCGCTTTGGGTTGCAGAGGAGGATGTTCTCAGGCTTGAGGTCGCAGTGAATGATGCTGAGCTCAGGTGTGGCCAGAAAGAGCAGCGCGGTGCAGAGCTGCTGGGCCAGCTTCCGGGTCAGATTCAGTGAGACACCGCGGAAGTGTGTGTTGCGCAGGAGGTCATACAGGTTGTAGGACAGCAGCTCAAACACCAGGCACAGGTGGTTCCGGAACATGAAGTGTCGCTTTAGGTGCACTATGGGAAAGGAGACAGAAACAAATAACACAGAAACAGGTTCAGAGATGGCCAGTGCTGGCTGGAGTCACACAGTGGTAAGCACCTCTACTACCTGCACACTGAACAAAGTGTGGTGTGCCCCTGGGTTCCCAGTCACAATGTTTCTACATGGTATCCAACCTGATTTACCCAAGAAGCCCTCTTTTAGGCTGTCAAATCTCCTAATTAAACTGAAGAGAAGTTTCTGTTAGCTTCCAGTAGCTCTTCAATACATTTCCACGCTACTTCAATCTTGTAACACTGTCTTTATCTCAGTTATATTTAAAGACAAGGGACACTGGTTTTCCAATTACAGTAAGGATGTAAACTGTCCTTTTCAAAGAAGCGTTAGTGTAAGTGAGGAGAAAGACTGGCATGGCTTTAAGAATCAAGGCTTCAGAGTCTACAACCTTATCAGTTATAGCTCTGCTGAGTACAAACGTCACCTCACATAAGTGACAACACTGAATGCCTGTGTTTCTTATCTCCAACATGTGAGCATGTAATCTCCTCATGGGGCTTTAGTGAGGTAATCTACATAAAGTGCTTGCAACAGAGCCTGGCTCTTTGGGAGCACTGGTACTTTCTGACCTACATCAGGTGAATGAGCAAAAACCGTGCAAGAATCAGGAGAATGAGTAGCTCAGGGAGGCCCCAGTGAGTGCCTGCCTGCCCTGAAGAAACAGTCCCTCCCAGAACTGAGGGTGACTATCTCTGCTCCAGGCCTTTGCAGTAGGCGCCCACCACCCCAGGCCTCACCTATGTAATACTTCATCTCCGTGTCATGCTGGTTCATCAACTCCAGCAGCCGCAGCTCAATCTGGGCCTGGTTCAAGAACGCCTTTTTGTTCTTGATAATCTTGATGGCCACCAGCTCCTGCGTCTGATGATCGTAAGCTTTCACCACCTGTCAAGGGTAAGGCAGGTCACCAATGGAGGCAGGGGCAGCATGGGGACAGTCACTGCTCTTCTCCTTCTGGCAGGGAGACCCACCAATCACACTGTCACTACTAATACACAGTTGTGTGCTCACCATTAGCCAGGTGCTAGTGTAAATATGAGCCATGAAATAACACAGTTATTTTATGTGAAGGATCACAGTATTTGTACTTTTACAGAAAAGGAAATTGAAGCACAGGGAAACTAAATAACAAGGCTGGGAAGAGTGGCCTAGTACAGCACTTGAAGTTACTAAGCCCCTAGGTATATGGGCCAGTGTTAGTAGGAGCCTGTACTCCTCAATCTCTGGACCAGACTGATGGTTGTTCTCACCTGGCCAAAGGAGCCTTTGCCTATGAGAGAATCAATCTCGTAGCGCTCCAACCAGCGCTCGCCACTGCGCACAATGTAGTCATGGTTGTCATCATCGTAACCATGGTTTAGGACCTTTTTCTCCTTCTTGGTGCTCGAGTCCTGGGGTGGCACCTGTTGGGCCCGACGCTTCTTCTTCGCATAATATACCTGCCCAGCCGGCCAGCCAGAACACAGGGACTGGTGAGTGACCTGGGCCAGCAGCAAGACACCTCAGCACCCAGCCCAGGACCCCACCTCTGCCCACCTCATTGATGTGCTTGTAGGTCTTGATGAGGTCCACGGAGAGCTTGCGCAGCGGGGCTGAGGCTGCATCCCGGAAGGCCAGGGGCAGCCTCCGAGGCAGCAGTCGCACATCAGGCAATACCTGTGGGGCAGGTCAAAGGACAAGAGGACAAGCCTTTACCTGTGAACTCCAGTGGGAGAATTAAATGGGCTGCTGGTTCATCAAGACCACATCCTATGTGAGAATATAAACTTCCCAAGGGCAAGGATATAGGCCTTGTCTTGTTTACCCCCAGTGCCTTGAGCAGGGTCTAGCCCACAGTGACTCCTCACCGGAGATCTCCCCTGTAAATGGAGTGAGTGATTTACCCCTGACCTTTCACCCAGACCCTGTGGGCTTCCCATATCTTTATTTCTAACCTCCATATGGGAAACCAGGCTTTGCTCCCCTACCCTTCCATCTGAGACTATCTATTTTGGGAATCTTACCTATGAAGCAACCTCAGGTCTATTTGCCCTCATCCTCTAGGACCTTTTCAATTCTCACCTCCAACTCTGAGCACCTCTGTCCAGTTCCTTTATCCCAAGGGCACCAGGACTGGGATCTGAGGACCGCAGACTTCTCATCGCACCTAACTCCAAGCTCCACATTTCAAAACCTCACCTCCTCTATCCTTAACACTCTTTATCCTATGCCACCTTGACCCCGAAGCCAAGACCCTTCAGGCTCACCTTCCCTCCCTACCTCGTGCTCTGGAGTCCTTTGCAGTGAACACTTGTTCAACATTTGCTTCACGCCAAGCACCATTCTCCCTCCCCACCCCCCAGGGATCGAACTCACGACTGTGCGCTGCAAGGCAGGCACCTATGCCACTGAGCTAAATATCCAGCCCCCAAACACCTACGTGTATGCTTTTTAGTAGTGTTTGAGGAGTGCTTTAGTAGTGCTTTATGCATGTGGTATTTCATCAACCTGTTTAACCCTGACAATCACCTCGAAAGAACGTATCATCACTGGCCCCATTCACAGAACAGAAAACAAAAGTAGGAAGAACCTAAGTAATTCAGCTACCACATCAGGATTTGAACCAAGATTCTCCAAAGTGACTCTGTTTAAAACTTTTATACTTCTATGAGGCCGGTGATGTCCCTCAGAGATGGGCCGGTGCAACCACAGTAGCTTTGGGCCTTGAGACTCTTCAATTTCTCCAGTTTCCTCTTACCCCTATGCAGTGAGGAGCCAGCTACATGCCTACCTGCATGTGCTCCTGGGGCCCCGGGAGGCCAGAGAAGGGCCCATGGCCTGGTGGGATGGCCATGGTGGGCTCAGAGGGCCGCAGGGGTGCGAGACCTGGAGCGGGAGCCCGGCCGGGGGGCGCCTTCTCGCATCCTGCACCTCGGCTGCCACCGCCGCTGAGACCTGAGAGCAGATAGGAGGTGGGGAAACAACATGGAACAGGAGGTATATGGGACAATGACAGGCATGAGAAAGGAGACAGGGCACACAGGGAGAAGACAAAGGGTGCAACAGAACAACCAGAGACAAACACACAGAGGGGGCAGGCAGGTAAAGGAGTACAAGAGAATCCCGCAACAAATTGAGGGTCAAACAATGAGGCAGCACAAACAACAAGAAAGTGATCGGGAGTCAGATGGGTGGGAGGAGTGGATATGGGCGGTGACAGGAAAAGAAGGGCATCAGTGATTGGGGAGCAGAAAAGAGAAGAAAGAAAATAAAGAGTTGGAGCAGAATTCTTCCTGGCTCCCCAGGCTTCACACAGACCCTGTCCTGATAGTCTTCCTTGAACATCAGGATCTCCTTAGGCACCATAGAAAACTCCTTCCACCCTGTCTATTCTTAGGTGTTTCCCAGTCCAGAGAACTTTGGGGATCCCCCAAACTACCTAAGTTCTCTGGGATCCCCAGGCCACAGCAGAATCCTCTGCAGGCCCCTAAAGCTATATGGGGTCCTCAGGACCTCCTGGTCACAAGGTTATCTGAACCTCTATGAAAGTCCCACTGCTACAGTTTTCTCAACCAGGGCACACCTCTTTCATGTCACACCAAGCCCTGATATCAGGTCTTCCTATCCTCCAGGTAGTCTCCCTATACCATATTTCAGTTCCCCTGTGCCATGTCAGGGATCTCCCCCAAATTACTCCAAGACCTTCTTTTTCCCAGCCAAGGGCCACTTCTTCTGCTGGAAGAAAAAGGAAAGTCTCCTCTCTCACAGGTTAGAGTGATCGTCCTATTCTCCCCTATTCTGGGTCCCTGTCCTCCCCCATCTAACATTCCTCCAAGAGTTCTCGTTATGCCTTTCTATACCGGATCACTGCATAACTGCACCTATTCCTAGAAGGTCCCCCTAGCCAGACCCCCAAATATCAGAGGGTTCTCTCCTCCCAATGTCTGCCACAACCAAATCCTTTAAATGCACTTGGCCCGTGTCAAATCCTTTCCATCCCGTCTTGCACTCCAGAATCCCTCCTCCCTCTGATCTCCCCCCAACAAACCACCTCTTTCCCAGGGGCCTCCCACACTAGGAATGTCACTCCCAGCCCCCACCCCCTACCCGGGTCAGGGCTGGTGCGGGGCCCTCGGGGGGCTGGGGCGCGATGGGGCCCCCAGTGGAGTGGGCGAGCAGCCAGCATGGTGGTGGTAGTGGTGAGAAGGCAGCCGCTGGTTCCCTGCCCGGTCGGGGTGGCAAACCCCGCGGTGGTGAGGGCAAGCAGGACAGGCAGCCCGGTGGGTGACAACAGGCGCCGCCGTGCACCGCCGCCGCTAGGGGCGGGGAAAGGAGTGGACTAAGGTCAGCTCAGGGCAAGCGGGGGAGGGGAAAGCAGGTGGACGGGGGAGGGGAGGGTTAACCCTCACACCGCCGGCCCCGCCCTGCCCTCAGAGGCCACCCGCCCCCAGGGACCCTGGCGTCCCGCCCCCCAACCTAGGAGGACCGCCCCGGACGGTAAAGACCAGGCAGGCGGGGCCTAACTGAGAGTTTGGCAAGCCGCACCTCCCATGGCAACAACCGTATCATTGGTCGTTGCTGCCAGGAACTCAGCCAATCACAACACAAAGCAGCTGTTGCTAGGCGACAATGAAGCGGCCGGCGGAGCGGAGACAGAGCCCAAACAAAGGGCGGGAGTGGGGCCCAGATACCCCCTCCCAACCTCCTCAAGAGGGCTCCTTCGGGCTCAGCCCTTTCCAGGAATCCAACTATGAATAGCCAGGCACAGCCCGCACCTGCCTGACGCCCCCCTCTTCGCCCTCTGCCTCGTGCAAAGTCTCCCAGCGATGCAGACAGGGCGGATCCCGATCACTCCTTCTCCCCATGAGCGAATGCCGCCCCGCCCATCGCCCGATCGTTACCTGAGGGCGCGGGTAAGGGGACTCAAACTGCTCGGGAAGCCCGAGCTCAAACCTGCCCACGGGCGGAAGGTATCCTGCGGACGCGGCGTGCCAGGGCCCCGATTACCCAGTAATGCAACCAGCAAAATGGCGACCACAACAAACCGCCCCCACTCCACCCAAGCTCCGCCCCTGCCCTCCCATCCGCTCCCATCACGTGATCAAGCTAACACTGCGCTTGCGCTCTCTAACGCTAGCGCTCCTAGCTGGCACACATGCGCAGTGAACTACCAATCCAGCCCAAATCCCCAAATCAAGTTACAGCTGTGCAAGAAACAAGTAGTATTGGAGCATGCGCTGCATGACCTGATTAAAACTTTCAACCCCCACCAAGCAAAGATGACCAAGGGCAGGAGTGTCCGGTTGTCTATGATGGTCGTGTAACAATCAGTAAACAAAGCAACAGATGAGTCTTTTAATAGAAAAATCACACGTGCAACAAACAGTAGCAACACACATCTCTGGGAATCCAGACAGCATTGAACTTCAGTTCTTCACCTTGGGAGGTGGCCTGTGATTAGAAGACAGGAATGGGGAGGGAGGAGTGTCACAGGTGTCACCATTCTTGGGGTCCCCAGAACCACAGCACTCTGAATACAGGGGAGGGAGACCTGTCTTGGATTACTGGGCTCCTGCTCACCTGTACACACCCACTACCACAGCGTGGTCTCTTTCATATGGCTCTAAGGTCAGCTGCTCCTGGGGCTTCATGTTCTCCTGCTGCATCTTCTTCACTTCAGAAGCAAACACAGCCTCAGCTGAGGCTGTAGAGTCAATGCAGTTGGCCTACAGAGAAGAGAGAATTTGAGCTCTGCACCGAGCTCTGAGCTGTTTTCCTTTTTGATGATCTTTAAGCCAGAAATATGTTCTAATCAGAAACTCGAGTGAAATCCAGGTTTTGGAAATGTGGCCAAAGACTGCATTAGTGCTATCATGGGCTTTCCTCACGATAGCCCACCCTGTCCTTCAGGGTGTATTTTTATCTTGCTTTTTCCCTTTACTTGGCCCAAGCCTGTTCTATTGAGCTCGTTTCTTCCTCACTTTTTCAAATAAATTTATTCACCGTTAAAAAAAAGACAATCAGAAAAGTTTTAAATTCAAGGCCAGATGTCCTATTTATCAAAAGCCAACGTTTAAATGGGGCTTGGTGGTGGCACACATGTAATCTCAGAACTTCACAAGACTGAAACAGAAGGACCTAAACTTCAAGTCCCACTTGGGCAAATTTAATGAGAAACTATCTCAGAATAAAAAGGACTGGAGAGTGTGGCTCCAGTTTAAAGATCCTGGGCTCATTCCCCAATACCAGCAAACAGACAAACAAAGCCTACACCAAACCACAACTTTATACTAAGGATTTTTTTCTGCTGCTTCTCAGTGGTAGCAATGCTGCCAGGAACAAAGCTATCACAGATAGTCAACCTGGTGAAAGGCCCATGGGAATTCTTTGCATTTCAAATTATAACAGTTTGAAAAATGCAACTAACATTTATCTAGTATCTATGACAGGATTTGTTCTGGAAGCTTCACATGTTGATTAATCTTATGTCAGTTCTTAAAAGATAGGACTAATATTTCTAATGTTACAAGCAAAGAAACTGAGTCACAAAGGTTAAGTAACTTGCTCAAAGTCACATTGCTGGAATTCAAACACAGATGGTCAGCCTTAGCAACCTATGCTGCTTTACTCCTTAAATCCAAAGATTCCTCCCTGAGATACAACTACCCATCTTAAAGAGTCCAAGCCCCGCACCTTAATGGAAATCACAAAGTGTCCTCCATTACGCAGGAAGGTATGAGCATTTAAGGCCACAATTCGGGTTTGATCTGGCTGGGCCACATCAGCAAAGATAACATCCACCATTGCTAAGGAGAAAGGACAACAGTTAAAAGCTAGATCCACCAGAGAAGTCTTCCCAGACCCTTCCATGAGGCTGGTGTTCCACCAGCAGGCTCCTGGCGGAGTCTCCCTGCTGCGAGCTCCCTCCTCCCACTGAACCCCCTCCCTCCGCAGTGCCCACCCGAGATGGGTCCGAAGCCCACAGTCGTAACATTCATTCACTCCTCTTGTAAAACATGGTTGCCACCTACTCTGTGGCCAGCCCTGGGCTGGGCGTGGGGGACACAGAGATGATTCAGACCCGGACCCTGCCCTCGAGATGCTCCCGGGTCTGGGGGGAGATAGACATGTCATCAAAAAGACAAGTAAAGGTGAGCAGTTAAAGGCAAGAGAGTGTGAAAGACTATCAAATGAAAACAAGCTGCAGAGCAAGGGTGGGGACAGAGGCATGGAAAAGGCAAAGAAAAATGAGTGGAATGAAATGTTTTTATAGCAATGTGATTTTTTTAAATGATAAAATGGTATAAAAAAACTTTAAAAATTGGGGAAAGCAGATAGCAAATATTCTTATTGATAACCTCAGGGAAATTTGCCAGGCTATTGTTTACTTGTATTTTTAAATTTTTTCTTTTTTAAAGAGTCATTAATATTCAAAATGGGCTCTGCAGTTCAGGCCATGCTCAGTTTGTGCTAGGATGCCACTAAACAATAAGGGCCCCAGAAAGGGACTTTTAAACAGAAGCCAAAGTAGTGTAAAAGGTACCATGTTTTGGAAGGAGGCAGGAAGTGCAGGAGACCTAGGAAGCAGGGCGATCAAAGAAGTGGGCCTTTCCAGAGCTCCAGGCAGCTGTGGCAGTTACCAAACACCACCTCATCTGGCTCCCTGCCCCCTTTCCATTCCTGCAGACTCAAGAGGCCTGCTCATGTAACCTAACTGCATCTGAATCCAGGCCCCGCTAGTTCTTCCAGGAATCCTGGAGTGGCTTGTCCTAGCTGCCCTTGACCGCCTAGACCCCTCACCGATGAGCATGCGGTATTTGTGTGGGTGTCGAGCATCCTCAATCACAGGAATAATGTTGGTCCTCTTCTTGGCCAAGTTGATAAGATCACGGCCAGAACGGTGAGAGAACTCAACTGCATACACAAGACCATCCTAAAGTGAATCCAATGATAACAAATAATGATACTGGTTCTCACGTTTGGAATGAATACTTCAGGCCCCTACACTACACACAGCATCTCTTCTGGCCCCCAAATATAAAACATACCAAGTAATTTCTATTGTTATGATGTCTACATTACAGATAAGTAAAGTAAGGTATAAACACATAGAAACACTAAGGGTTATTCAGCAAACAGCAAAACTACACAACCCAAATTTGCCTGATACAAGGGCCCACGCTCCCAAAAGAATCTTAAAATCACAACCAACACACAGAGATGACATAATAAAAGCTAAGTGTATTTGCAATGGGCAAGTACTTTAGGAATTAACCTGTTAAATTTCCACAAAACCCTATCCTGGTTAAACTAAGACAGGTTTGTTAATGAAAGCTGTATCATTAAAAAATGCCTACAAAAGAGCCTGAAGTGTTTTGACCACCAAATTAAACAGCCTACAATAATCATGTTACAAGAAGTGAAGTGAAACACACAGGTACCAACACACAAGTACTCTCTATAGGAGAAACCTGTACAGCCATGCAGAAATGCAGGCCCAGAACTATGAGAACTATCAGTTCTTTAAACAGAAACAGGAAGAACAGAACTTAAAGGCATGACTTTTTTCTTTTTCTTAGACATAGGGTCTAGTTCATGTTGCTCAGGCCTCGAACTGCATCTTCTTGATGCAGCCTCCTGAGTAAATGGAATAATAGCCACATACCATTATGCCCAGCTAGGGGCACAGAATTTTAAATAACCAAACTCTCTACTCTCCCAGCTTTGGGTCCTGCTAGTGATGGTTAAACTCATGCCTACCCCACTTCCCTCAAGGCCTCAGGTTATTCTACTCATAGGCCCGGAAGGAAAGGCCAGCCCTATACCACATGGTACAGAGAGCTGCTAGGCCCCCATTCCAGATTGGCAGGGTGGCCCACCCCCAACCCATCTGACTCACCAGGCCTACGATATCGGAGACATGGGAAACTGTGGTGCCAGAGGCTGCCCCAAGGTAGAGCACCTTGGCCCCAGGCTTGATGTGGATCTGGTCCACACCCCCGAGGATCGCCGCAGCCAGTTTGGAGCGGAAAGGGTTCCAGGCTCGGTACTCAATTTTGTCATCTCCTTCCTAGGCCAGGAGAGATGGGGGCAATAGTCAGTGTAGGCTCTTCTCCAGAATTACCCCTACCCTTGGTGCCCTCAAAAGAAAGAGGGTGGTGCAATCATCATATAAGAACTGAACACACAGGCGCATAGCAGTGACCATGACAGAGCAGCCCTTGTCCTCTCATGGATGTTGCTGACTCAGAGAGAAGAGGCAGCAGGAGACAGTAAACAGTAACAATAAGACCGGCACACTTAAGTAATCATCTCCTGCTCCTGGTCCAGGCGCTGGGGACACCACAATGAAGAAGACAGATCTAGATCAGCCCTTATGGACTAAGTATACACTTAAAAAACCTACTGCAACCTGCCACAGTACATGAGGACAGATCCTGCAGAGACCAAGCCAGTAGAGCAGATGGGAAGCACAGGGAGTAGTGAACAATGGGTGAGAATGACAGGGTGGCCGGAAGGTGACTTCTGACTCAACCTGGAGGGCCAGAGGTTACCACTCAGGAATTTCAGGCAGAGGGAAAATGAACAGGAAGACCCCAAGCAGAGGTGTGGCTGAGCACAGAGAAAATGACATGAGGATGGGCAGTAAAGGCTGCTTTTGACACGAGGATGGGCAGTAAAGGCTGCTTTTGACAGACGGGGGATATGAGATGGCTTTGTCACAAAGACCAGGTGACTCTTGACCAGAGACAAAGATGATGAGAAGGAAGCAGCCCTGCACCAGCCAGTAGAGAGGAAAGCAAGGAGACCACACGTCCCTCAAGGCACTGTGAGAGCTCAAGACTTTCAGGCAGGGCTGAGTCTCAGAAGACAGGGGA